ACTAACTATGTGGTATCATTCAGGTGGGACTGGGGAACAAAACCTCGCCCTGGACAACTTACAGTACGTGACCTATCTCACGACGAACCGTCATATATGAAATCACACTACTTATTAAACGATATTTAGACGTAGACTTCACTAAAACACTATTACTAGACGTTATTTTATGTATACTTTCATATTTACGATGTCTTTGGTATGAGAATACATTGTATGCATCTAAAAACGAAGTTTACTTAATTAGAGCCATTTCTGACGTTTTCGTGATATTGCGCTTTTTAAAATAAATCGGCATTTCTAAAAAACGCAACACTGCCTTTAATGTTTCCTTGATGTTTTAATTCTTTAAAACTTGTACTTAATTAACATAGACATTGGACTCATGAAATGATGCTGGTTTGCGAGTGATTGACAATCATTCGTAAATTTCGACACATTTAATGAGTTAGGTCATTAACTGTACATGGCCTAGTATTATTCCTGATTCATTTAGGTAGCCTTACGTTTTCTTACAAAAAAGCAAAGGCTTCAATATGGTCATTGTTTCAGTCTGTTGGGCGAGATTAAAGCATTCGAGGAACATGGTCTTAATTCTAGGCCTTGGGAATGGGAATCGGTGAATAAATTATTGTCACCTTATTTACACACAGTTTTACCATGCTTGACATACCCTCCGCTCCGACCTGGCAATTGGAAGCATGTAGAAGTACGGTGGTCGTTAACGGGCAAATTTCCCAAATGAGAAGTCGGGGGGACAAAGTTAGCAGGGTAAGCGCCCAAGATGACAAGTGTACCAATCGATCCACGGAATCGAGTGCCTGAACTTTGACCGACAGCAGCTAATCGCTGAAGACAAAAATATCGATCGACTTCACGATACAGACAACTCGAGGGCTGAATCACAGCGAGATTCGATCGCCATCAGCAGACCGAGCAGAACGTCATAATCACAATTCTCAAAGCTAGGGAACACATTTTGAATCGAGCTATTGGCGGGACTGAATTATGTGGACGTCTAAACAGGACATGAAAGTGGGGAAGCCTTGTCCAGGTAATAAATGTGAACCTGCGCATAATTCTAGACAGGGCAGCATAATCCCGTTGCCAAACATCAACAATAGGGTTCTGGTTTATATTAAAATGAATCCCTGTCCTAATACTGACCCCAAAACTACCCTTAAGTACTTTACATCTAACCTTAAACCTAATCTTTAACTTAACCCTAACCCTAACCTTAAACCTATCCCTAAATTCACTGAAAGTTGGCCCAGAACTACCCATGTTGCAGGCGGTTCCTGCCCGCATGTCCTGTCTGGATGTCCACATAAGTCAGTACTACCAAGTTGCCTACGTAGGATTCATCGTAAAATGCACAGGTAAAAGCCCTAAGATGGAGTAGCCTCCCGAGCACAGTTTGCAGTACAAAGGGCACTAATTATATTATTAATGAAGAGGAGGGCGTGACGTCCTGTACTTTGGCGCATGCTGATGTTTGATTTGGTTTACACGGTGTCGGCACGCATGTCGGAACATAAGGTAGCGCTTAAGTGTGCAGATTAAAGGTCATTCGGAAAGTTGGATTGAATGGCTAATAATTACACAAGCATGCCCGGCGTTGACGAGCTGGGTAATCGCTTCGTCGCTACCGGAGTCCACACATTCACATCTCCTTCTCTCACATAGTACCCAAGAGAGCTTGCATCTATACCGTTCTCAAAAATGAAATCGTGAGTATTTCCTAAATTACGCATGTTGTTCGTCGATGACTTGCGCAGGAGCCACGTATGCCACGATGTGCATGCAACAGGTGGTG